TACCTTGACTGTGCTGCGCCTGCACTTTAATGATACCAACCTTCTCAGATCAGGGATGGTGAATGTGAGTTAGCTGCTAATCTGCACAGGGATAGCAGCGGTTCTTTTTTTTTAGATAATCTGTTTTTTGGAAGTGAGAGGTCTCACATTTTGTTCAGCCTTCACCTGTAGCGTGAAACTGTGATGTTATGATATGGGGAGCACCTAGACCAGTAGAGGTGGCTTCGCTTAGAAGGTAATTGTTTTTCTGCAGAGTTGGGAAAAAATAATTATATTTCATAACAAATGAACAATTTAATGCATGCATTATTTCTTTTAGTTTTTTGTTTTCTACAGCAATAGTGGCTTGTGTTTTTTTAAAGTAGACTGACAGGAAAGGGGGTATGAGACAGGGGGAGAAACATGCGGCAAAGGACCACAGGTCAGATTTGAACCCAGGTTGACCGCTTCCAGGACTAAAGGGCAGATTAGACTGCAACCGCACACATCAAATGTCGCTCGGTTGTGGTTGTGAATCAGTTTTGCCTCGAGACAGATTTGACGGTTGCAGCGGCTATGTGTTAGAAGCATAAATTGGTCATAAGGCCTCCGTATAAAGGTTGTGTGCGCTAACCACTGCACAAGCTGCATGCCTAAATGCATTATTTCATAATAGTTACAGAATTATCTAAAGGGGGCGGATTGCTTTTCTTAAACAACTCATAAAAAAGTGATACAATTTGGAGCTCCTGTTGGGACTAAATATCTGCCTCTGAAAAAAAAACTGCAGCTTTGACAGGTGAGTTAACAGTGCAAGAAAAATATAGACGAAAACTAATTAAAAGCAGTTTGCTGTTTTCGTCTTTAAAAGAAGCAGAATATAAAAGCTCAGTTGATATTAATCTCTGACAATAAGGATTCTGATAGGCTAAATAAAAAAAATGTATTGAGGGGATTAATATTAGCACATTTTATCAATGCAACTGACACTGATGTTTATTCAGACACATAAAAAAGTAATTTTATTGAACAGACTTGATATCAGTAAATATATTTTGAAATGTATCTTTCCACGGGGTAAATAAAAGCTAAAAAGTGATTCAAAATGGAGAAAAATTAAACAGAAATCCGATTTTAAGCACCAGAGTAGGAAATACCACTGGTCATCACAGGCAACAAGACGTTTCTGTGTCGCTTTAAAGAATAAATGAAAAATCCCATAAGGCAGTGAGGTCTAACAGGAGAAAAGAACACTAAAGGACCATCATGTGTTTTATGAGATCCTAATAGTGCTACAAATGTCAGAGCTGATGTATTACTGCACATTTGCTGGGCTTAGACGTTTCCTGGGCCTCTCAACGAAAGTCATTACGCTTATCAAAAGCACCTTATTAGAGGAATCAGGTCAGATGTGGAGGAAGGGGAAGTTTCTCTTTAGGTTTATGTGTTGCTTGTCCTGTGGGTATTCAGATATGTGTGCATTGATTTCAGTATGTATCAAGCTAAGCATGAATACACAGAAACACCTTTGTTATAATACTCTTTGGAAATATGTTTGCCCTAAGTGAACTTAAATCATGCAAACATATAGTCCAGACTAAAGTTTATTGGAAACCTCAGTGTGTTGTTTAAGGTTATACTCATCTGATAGAAACATAATAAAAGCAGCACTCCAATAACATACATGCATTATGAAAACAGGCCGAATACATCAAAAGCTTCCATTTTGGTAAATCCTTACAAACGTAGGATTTCAATTTGGCTGCTTGTTCTGGTCCTGGCTCAGAGGGAAACAAATGGAAAACAGGCTCTGCTCTGTGCTGCACGAAGCAGTAAATCAGAAAGGTTTTACTGATAAAGAGCACACACACACACACACAACACCCACACTTCAGTAAAAACAGTCCGGCATTGAGGAAATTTATGGCAAATTACCCATTTTGCACTGGATTGACTCTCTGTAGTTTAGGCAGACAAACTAGAACAAATCATTACATCTGTTTTAGATTCAGCTGTATGACAGACTGCGAATTACCTGACTTATTTTTTCCCAGAATGCCTAAACCGAAGTTTGCAATGGAGGTGTGTCCTTCAGAAAGCTGACATTAATCTTCCAGTGGTTTTCTTATTTAAGCCATGAAATCTACCTTCTATCTATATAATATCCATTTCAGTAGTACAGGGGCTCACAGTGCAATTAATATACAATCAGAAGAGACCCACCAACTAATCTAAAGCGAAAGCTCAGTCATTACCTAAAGGTGCAGTGCATAATTTTTACGCTGACTTTTTTTTTCTTTTCCATTCATGCTCTTACAATCACCAGACACATAAAATGAGCTTTTCTCTATAGGCTCTGCTATTCAGCTCATTCCAGTGATTCGAGGTGAGTCTCGCTGCGCTCTCATTCACCTGGTTACACTGTTCAGTCTCTACTACTACGGGAGATTAGTCACAAGTTCCTATTAAATCCCATCACAGACAGATAAAATGAAACTTCTGTTGAGTGCTACGAAAAGGTCCCAACTGGAGCGGAATAAGATGAGAGAAAGTATAGGGGAGGCTTTTAACAGGGAGGGAACTCAGATCTGCTCTCTTTGTTGAAAAGATAAGATACTTTGTTCAAATTGATTATGTACAACTTTCTTACCCCACATGAACAAATAAATCCCTTGCTATTTCCCATGCTGGAGCAAAACACTGCTGTCATTTCAACTTGTCGCCAGAGGCGGCAAGCGTCCACAAAAACTAGAAATTATGCTTTGCTCCTTTATCAACATCATCTTTATCGAATCACTCTTTTTTAAAGCGGAGGTCCGTGATCCGTAGGGGTCCACAGAGAAAGTGCATGGGGGTCACTAAAGTCTTGGTTGACTATACTTTTTTATAATCCCCCCTGCAATTTTTTTCTACTAATTGAAATGTCTTTAAATCCACATTAACATGAATTCAACACACTGCAGTAAACAGATAAATAGAGGCAGAAGATGTCTTTCAGTCATCAATGCACACATTCAGCGACACACAAGAGCTCTTTCAAGCTGGGCACCGTTTCATTCACAACACCTGTACCATCAACCAGGAATTAGAATCAGAAATACTTTAATAATCCCAGGGAGAAATTACTTTAGTTACATGACTCCATCTGTAATAGAGTGACTATAGGACCAGTTTGATAGAACACAATTTCTTACAATATATACAATTAGGGGGTCCCCGCTCCATCTCGCCTTCAGTTTTGGGTCCTTGGCCTGGAAAACATTGAAGACCCCTGGTTTAAATGGTTCAATTCATTTGAAATTATATGGAAGAGTTTCTGTTTTGTTTATAAAGCAAAAGACCCTTTTTAAATGAAATTAAGTCTTTATCAACAAGGAGGAGCTTGTTGGTTTTTATTCAAACAGCATTTTTTATGTTTTGCAAGGGAGTACAGATACAATATTTGCCAATTTATGTCTTCTCAAAGGTTTTCAATAACTACTTAAAACTTAAATTAAGAGCAGGGAGGGATTGATATACAGCTAAATACATCGAAACCAGTTACAGGCAATTTGAAACAACCTTGAGCCTAAAGGCTCCATTCCCAAAAATACACTGAAAAAAGGACTCTTCGTGCCATAACAATAGGGCTAAACGATTTTAACAAAAATCAAAATTTAGATTATTTTCAACCAATATCGCTATTGCGATTTTACTGTGATTTTCCTTTACACCCAGCACAAGCATGTCGATGTTTTACTCCAGGTTTTCAGTTTTTTCTTGACCTTGAAAGCCTGTTATCCAGAATCCAGAGTTGCAGGTCTTTGCTATAACATTTGCAAGAAAAACTCTAAAATGCATAGATCTATGTGCTAGCTGCAACCCCTATTCCCTTCAGTGTGACAGCAGGCCCACTTTAATCGTATTACCACCACTCCATTGTGACTAAAATTGAGTGCCTCTGTGGTTAAAGAAATTGCATTTTTTATTGTGATTATATAGAAAAAGCAATGAATTGCCCAGCCCTACTAACCACTGTGTATTCTTGCAGGTGTACAACAGCTCGATTGACTACTTTTCAGCAGAAATTAGATTAAATAAACATTTAATGCAAATAATATCAAGAGTGGATAATAAATAAATAAATAAATCCCTCCACAGCCTCCTGCAGCACATCTCCAGACGGGAGAAGCTAGATCTGAACACATCACCAGTCCTCCCAACCATTCATCTGGTAAATACCTAAAGCGCTGACCTAAAAGAAGTTTACTACTCTCTCACAGAAGTTGGCATCTGAAACAAATGTCTAATCTAATAAGTAAATGAAACATCGACTAAATCAGCCAGCTTCCTTATTCTAAGGACAACAGCAACTTGCTGACACAGATCAGAAAAGCGTTACCTTTAGGAAACATATTTGGTTAAAATTCATCTGATTTGCACAATAAGATTTAAAACGTCTGAAAGCCTTTAAGTGTTTCAAACAGTTAGTGTCTGGATGTTTGAGCCCTAATATGGCCAAACCCTTCCTTAATACTCAGCAGACTGAGGCTCTCCTTAAGGCAGCTTTAAAAGGAGTGAATTAAACAGGATGGGCGACTCCTCCCCATTCATTTACCCATCAACACCACAGAAAACCAAACAATATTCAAAGTACGCCTCGCTAAACCATTGCTCCTCCAAACTCAGCAGCGTATCACTAGCAAACATTACTACAAACAGCAGAAGTGAAACCGTAAAAAGCATCTCAAAGAGAGATAAATGTTTAAACCCAGGAGAAGAGTTAGAGCTAGATCTGCCCACCAAGCCACATAGGCTCAGATGAAAGACTGGAGGCTCTGGAGGGGGGAGCAGAAACTCCAACTCTTCTTGTCTTATCTCTAGAAATAGCTATCATTGGAGATGAAGTACATAGAAGCTCCTGGGAGCTGAGAAGATGAGAGATGGGATCAAAATCACCCAGCAGAAAGATCCCCTCTCTTAGCTCCACAAACGTACAAACTGAATAAGCATAAAGAATGACCAGCTTAGTGCTCTCCTACCTTTTTCTGGTCTTCGAGTTTTTGACATGTGGACTTCTTGCCATGCTTGTTGGACTCTGGTACATCCATTCCTGGTCCAAAATGCAGAATAACTCCACAGTAAGATTACGGGGACAGTTGCTGAATAAAATCCAGGAGGGCTACAGTTTGCCGACCAGGGCCTGTGTCCAGCTCACGCCTTCACCTGGACACAGGCGATCCATTGCTGGGGGTTGTTTATGACGGGAGAAGAAGAAATGTCTCTGCTAAAAACACTGGAGGAGCTGGACTAAAACTGAGCAGGTGAAGATTACCGACACGGTGCCATGGTTATTCTGAACAGCAGTTGTGTAGATACTCTCTGCAGCTCCTTGTCTCATAGTACAGCGTCCATCCTCCAAGAGCAGTACCCCCCCTACATCTGTAAAATGAAGAGGTGAGACCACAATTAGATGCAACACACACACACAAAATAAAAATAAAAAAGCGGCACAGTTTTTAGGCTCCCAATTAAGGCAAAAATATCTGCCTCTCCAAAAAGTCAATATTCCCCCTTGAAGCTGCACTGTACAAATGGCAAGAGGATCTGCATATCAAAGCGAATGTTGCCATGGAGCTCAGAGAGAGAAGGAAGACGCTTCAACAGGATGCTTTTAGTTTTCTTTTTTTTTTGCAGTTTTGGATTCATATCGTCTCTTTCTCTAAATATCTATGTTAACAAGAAAACTGAATCATAGTTGGGTCAGAGCGGGTTGGGGTACTGAAGGATTACAGCAAGATGGGTGGATTGCTCCTCTGTAAAGGCCACACCGAGGGATTATTTACCAGGAAGAGGCTTTACATGAAACGATCTGGGCAAACATGGAATCATATGCAATATAGAGTTGAGTAGAAAAAAATGCATAATTTTTTTAAGACAAAGAAGGTCAGAAAGACAGATTTCAAACAAATCACATGCAGACAAATAGGTTTGAAAGTATTTAAGTAGGTTTTATTTGTTTGTAGAAGAGAAAAAATCTGATCCTTTAATTAAAACCATTTTTTTTAGAAATCTGAGGTCAATTTAACTAACTGAACCAAGCCTGATTATTGATAGCAATAGAAATCATGGAGGTCAAACAGCAGACGTCAGTTAGACATTCGTTTTTAGGCTGAATCTGGTCTTAATTTAGTCCAGAAATACTTATGAAAATTAGGCTGTGTTTGGTCGGTCTGATTTTCTCCCACTTTAGTCCAATAAAAGACGATAAAATAGACCTTGAAAACCCATTTTTCAATGTATTTTCAACAATCTGAAAATACAGCTTATCAATTTTCACTTTTCAACCAAATGTAGACGTCATTTGGACGTAGATCATGTCGCTTTTTCTATGTCTATTCAACCAATATTTTTCTGTGTGGGATAGAACCTATCTAACAACATGAAGTAGTCATTCAAAACTCAAAAATCAACGCTTCCTGTAACAATTTAAAAACCAAACTGAGAACGAAACAATTACTGACATGATCATATATGAAAATGATTACAAAGTCATATATGTAACTCAATGAAAAGTCATAGCAATGAAAGCCTATGAAATGTCGAGTTATCTATCTGTTGAATAAATAAGAGACCGGTGCCCTGTGTCAAGGTAAATGGTTGTGCTGTCACCAAAATCTGCCTTTTTTTTAGCTCCAATGAAGGGCCTCTATTCATTAGGTTGGCGAGTCAAATGCCCAAATACTCCATTAGAATAACGTCTTGGAAACAAGCAGTCTTTGATTCGTTTCACCACCAGCAACACCAACCTGATCTCTCCGTGTTTTCTGAACCACTACATCCCCCCACTACTCCAGCATGTCTTAAATCACAGTAACCCTGTCACTGACTGAAGGCCACTTACGTCAAGTGCTGCAAATTCACAACTGTTTGGTCTGGAAAAGAGTTAGGGCCAGAGATCTTTCAGATGGCGCTAGGTTGTAGAAGCAGTCTCCTTTCAAGCAGCTCCATGCGATTACATTAAAGCCATTAACAACATCACGCAATGCACAGGGAATATGTGTTACCATAGGTGATGAAGGAAATAAAAGCAACTTCTAACAGCAAAAAAATCTGGTATAAGCATTAATCTTGGAAATTTTAAACTTGCCTAAAAGCACAGCTGTGTTCCTTTTAGTCTTCCTCTTTTTCCCTCAGCTGAAGAATTGCATGGGGGGGCTTTCTAAACTCATGCATAATGTATGAGCTCTAATTTTCCCTTTTTTGCTGCTGAATATTACAAGAAAACAATGGCATCTCGTGTGGGGGGGAAGCTTGGCACAATTCTGCTTGCAGCACGAGAAACGGCTGGCGGGTATTGGCTATTAAGTCAGGAGAAGAATACCTCGTATGCAGGCCAGAGGGTCAGCAGGCTGACATATTAAAAACAGGCATGCAGAGAGAGTTATAAAATATGTGTACATGTATACATATATTTGACATTTCTAAGGTTAACTTGCAAAATATTCATAAAAACAAAGATTATTACCAGTTATTCTCATGCAACCAAATGTATTATGATTATAAGCAGTTTATTGCTGGTTATGTTGCATTCTATTTGTTGCAGCTTTAATTTATTCCCTGTGCAGAAGCATTGTTCCTTGGTGTTCATTGTAATAAAAAATGGAGATGAATATTATGATACATTAAATGCTAATAAGAGCATTTTATTCAACAGAAAGCCTGTTATCCTTTTTTTCCTTTTTTAATCACAATCTTTTACTCCCAGTGGTTCTGATCATCATTTTAGCCAATAGATCAGGAGATTAGGACAATAATCAAACCAACAAGCAATGGATCACATTTCAATACTGCAGTCTCTAAATTGACACTAAATAGTTTTTTTTTTTACTTCATTATCATTTGTTAACAAATCTGTTGTATTAATTATTATCTCTAAATGAGGCATGTTTAATTGTAAGGTTTGTCTTCATGCTTTCCAGACACATAACCCTCAAAGGTAGTAACACCTCAGTCAACATCTTGTATCCAAAAAAAGAGTAAAATAATCTACATATATGTGTATATTTTTGCCCACAATTTAAAATAGTTGCTTATTTCAAGTCAAGTCAAATCTTAAAATATCCTCCCAAAATATTGCCACTTTAAAGTACTTTAAACCAACCAACATGGCAGCTAGCTAATTCAGCTATCCATTTGCTATTAAACAACAGCTAAACACTCGCCACTCGGTTTGTCACTTTATCAAAAAAGTAAATATTACACATCTTATCTAACTAATTATCAAATACAGTTAAACCGCAGTTAAATAAACACTATCATTAGCTAAATGCCAACAAACTATGGTAGCAACCACAGCTGTGAATTTGCAGGTGACACACCTGACGGACAGGGCTAATTAGCAGTAAGCTCCTGTTAGCGTGATAATTTTTTTTCCCTCTTTTCTATTGTAAATAAAATTAAATACGGGAAACTTAGTTATGAATAATGACGTTTTTTATACATTTTACTTAATTTAAACAAAATTAGTAATCACTATGCTCCTTTTTGGTGGAAGGCAAGGCAAGGCAAGGCAAATTTGTATAGCACAATTCAGTACAAAGACAATGCAAAGTGCTTTACATGATTAAAATATAGGAAAATAAAACAGAATCAAAGCAAGTAGGAAAAAATTGAGAAATAAAAAAATGCAGAAACAAAAAACATTAAAAACAGTTGGACTAAAGAAAAGAAAAGCAACTAATGATGATGAACTAATGATGTTTCAGTTGAACTGTTTAACTAGAACAGTCAAAGGCAATATTAAACAAATGTGTTTTTAGTCTTGAAAGCAACATCAATTCTTCAGTTGCTAAAATGTAGTATTCATATTCATTAGGGTGACCAGATTTGGGTTTCTGAAAAGGAGGACATGTTTTTTTTTTATGGGGAAATATCAATTATTTTTTTTTATTTGTAAAATTGACTAAAAATGAGTGTGTCTCATCAGGCTAATGTAGTAAAACAATTTCACAAAGAATTTGAGTTGGTGGGTCACATGACCAGGAAGGTATTGAACAAATATCACATTTTTTCATTATAAAAAATCTTTTTAAATGAATAAAGTCTTAAAATTGAATAAAAATGAGTGTGCCTCATCAGGCTAATGTAGTAAATCAATTTCACAAAGAATTTGAGTCGTAGGGTCACATGACCATGAAGCTATTGAAGAAAATTCCCAACTTTTGTCATTAAAAATATCCTAAAAATTGAAAATAGCTTAAAATTGCATAAAAGCAAATGTGCCTTATATATGTTATTTATTGGCATGATTTTATATTATTTTCGGCTTAGCTGGTCATAAGATAAGGAATTTAACAATTTTTCTTTCTCAAGAGTGCTAGGTTCAAAGATTTGTTGACGGGCCTTAACTGCACCACTGCGTGTGGGAGCTGAGAGACGTTAGCCGACATCGCAGTCCCCCAGTCAGGTCAACTGTTTGCTAGATCCCGCTGACTCCGCGTAGCTTAAATATCCAAAATCCAACTTCGAACCAACTTCACCGCGGTGCTGATGCCTCGGTTCTGCTGAGCTGCAGCCAACCAAAATCCCAGACGATTTTGAAATTACCCCCGGACATTTTTTGAGTTATGAAAAGTAGAACATGTCAGGGAAAAAGAGGACGTCTGGTCACCCTATATTTTTATTTACATCACTCGCGTTTATTAATTATTCTACAAAGGGGGCTGCAAAAATGTAGACACCTGTCCTATTTGGGGATACGTTGTGTTATGTGAAAGTATGGAGTAGAAATTTCTAATAGCTCATTTTATTCCATTTATTAGATTGGATATTTATATAATATAATAATATAAGTCTTTTTTTACCTAAAATACATCAGACCATCCAAATTGTCCCTTTCTAGCATGGGAAAAATTATGTAGCACTGTTTCAGCCTGTTGACGAGCAGTGAATTCAAACAGGTTAGCAGTATGTAGCCTCTTTCACTCCAAAAAAAAACTCTAATCACTCTATTTGGCATCACATTAAGGGTAAATTGCACGTTTTTAAACCTCGGAACATCTTAATTTATTTCGCTCTCCCTTATCGAAGGGCAGCATCGATGCTTAAGGAGATGCAAAAGAAAAAAAGCGGATTTACATCAGGTATTTGCTGTGAATGAAAAGAACCCGAAGCTACAAAACACCTCCTGAATTCATCATAAAAGGCATAAAGCTTGGTTTCTTTGGCAAATGGATTCCTATATTTATTGTTTAAGGGAATATCAATGTGTGCTCCAATCCCCCTTGGTTGTAAAGAATCTCACTGGGAGCAGAACGTAAATATTTATGAGTAACAGCTGCAGCAGTTTCATCACAGGCTGCTCGGTTATCCCGCCTTCAATCTCTACGGCTTGAACACATTTCCCCCCCACCCTGTAGCCTTTTCACCGCCACTTTGCA